AAGACTTAACACATTGTATAACATTGTTATATAATATTATGATTTTATGTTTTTATTTTTTATTTTCTCAATAAAAAGATATTAATTTAAAGAACTACCTTGGACTAGTTTTTTGTAGTTAGAATAAGAATAATAAAACATGGCCGTATTCAGGGGGAGGGTTTTCCGGGTTCAAACCCCCCCCAAAATTTGTTCAACATTTTTTTTTTGCCTATTCACTTGATGTTTTTTTTCTGTATTCAATTGAAATTCAATAGAAAAGTGTTTCTTAATCAATCGTCTAAGTCGCACATAAGGTAAATTATTATCCCAGACGTATTATTATTGTGTAAATAAAATAGAATTGTCTACGAGAATGTCTACGCGCAAAAATTGAATCTAAAACAGTGCACTGCTTTACGACGGGTAAAACTATGTATACAATGAGATAAGATCACGACTGACGTTATCGTTGTCGCCTGCCCATAGCTTTGGCTGTTCATATGGACGCACCAGAGTATTTACGTAGTTATTTTTTAGTATTCTTCAAATTTTGATAGTGTACATACCTTATTAGAATAATCGTCGATGTTTAATTTCAACTCGAATAGAACTAATTCGGATAACCGATTACCGAATCATTTTTCTTTTGGATTCTCGTCATACAACACACCATGGCGATGCGCCGTAAACATTGCTGTTAAACGTTTCTATTGATCTGAATTCCGTAAGTATATTTACTACCATTTTTTATTTAATAGTTTTAGAGTTATATTATTTATAAAATATCATAGCTCATTTATTTTATACCAGTTTATATGTTGGACAGTTAATGTAATTATGTACCTGCATAGTCTCTATATTATAGATATCAGTGGTGTTTATTCAGTGTGCAAGTTATGCATTAACGCCCAACATTAATTATACATATTATCATTTATCAATCCTATTTATTTTAATCTTTTATTTTATTTATTTATTTTATTTTGATATGTATAATATTATGTAGCACATCTTGTAATTATTGTAATTTTTCGTGTAAGAAAATTAATGTCACAAAAAAATTACTTTTATAAAATGTCTTCATTTATCTTATTCATCAATATACAATTTAAGTGGCATTTAGGTTGATTTTAGACATTTTAAATAGATATTTCCTAAATAAAATTTTTAGTTATAACAGCTCCAAAATATCTATAAACACGGGCGAATTCTCACTTATGCACAATATGTTTATTTTTAGAATTAATACACAAAAATTAAATACCGAAAATGAAACGAGTTCAAAGACAATTGGACATCACTGCATTTACACAAATAAAAAAAGATAAGACAAACAATCCAAATTCTGAATTTCAACCAGTTGAACCTACTAATATTAATTATTCGAATAAAGATGTTTCTATTGAACAAGCTTACTTAGAAGAACTTCCCTCAGTTAGCAAAAATAGTACTGATATTCACAACCTTACTTCAATGCATAGCAATTATACTCCTTCTGTTTCTACCATGTCCAATAATTTTACTAAAACACCCATAGTTGGAGTAAATGATATTGGTAATTATGTCCATAATTTAGAAATTAACGATTTAAAAAAAGAGGAACTCTTAAAAACTCCGTGGGTTCCTTCTTCAACATATATTTTCCCTGTAAAAACCAAAAGAAATTTACGATTTCAATTATCTTGGATAAAACGATTTCCATGGCTTAGTTATTCACAATTATTTGAAGGAGCATTTTGTAGACTATGTGTTTTGTTTGCTCGAGAAAAAGGAGGTAATGGTAGTCATCAAAAATTAGGTGCACTTGTTTCTAAAGAGTATACTAATTGGAAAAATGCTTTGCAAGACTTTCAATTACATGCTACCACATCTTATCACAAATTGTGTGTCGAGAAATCTGATAGTTTTTTAAAAGTGAATGAAGGAATATCTAAAAAATATAACTGAACAACTCAGTATTGAACGTTCTAGACAGATTGAACAAAATAGAAAAATTTTACTTTCTATTATAAAAACCATAATTCTTTGTAGTAGGCAAGAAATTACTTTTCGTGGATCAAACGATTATGGAAATGTAATGAACATAAATGATTTTAATGACGGAAATTTTAGAGCTCTTTTACGGTTTCGTGTAGATTCAGGTGACACTACGCTAGGAGAACATTTGAAAAATGGTCCAAGAAATTCTTTATATACTAGTCCTGGTATTCAAAATGACATAATTTCTATTTGTGGTGAAATAATCAAGTCAAAAATTGTCCAAAGAGTAAATGCTGCCGAGTGCTTTTCTGTGTTAGCGGACGAAACTACAGATATTGGAAGAATTGAACAAATGTCTGTATGTTTGCGTTATTATGACCAAAAAGATAAAAAAATCCGAGAAGATTTTTTAGAATTTACACCGGCTGTTGATCTTAGTGGAAAAGGACTAGCAACTTTGATAATGGGGTGTTTACAGAAGAACAGTATACATTGTCAATTTTTAGTTGGACAAGGTTACGATGGAGCCTCTGCCATGAGTGGATATTTACATGGTGCTCAAGAATACATAAAAAAAGATTTTCCCATGGCACTTTATGTACATTGCAGTGCTCACTCGCTCAATCTAGCGTTGGCCAACGCCTGTTCATTGCCCTCAATAAGAAACTGTATTAGCACCATTCAAACTGTTGGAACATTTTTTTCGCTCATCGGCTCAAAGAAGTGAATTATTGAGAACAACTATTATCGAAACTCTTTCAGAGACAAGGCATACCACATTAGTTGCATTATGTGAAACTCGTTGGGTTTATAAGCATGAAAGTGTCATGCGGTTCAAAGAACTATATCCCGCTATTATTGTTGCATTGGAAAAATTGGAGTCATCAATAAATAAAGAAACTGCTCAAAAGTCTTGTCAGTTATTAAGTACAATTAAAGACGCTAAATTTGTTATACCTCTCGTAATAATTGAAAATATTTTTTCGTATACATTGACATTGTGTAAACAGCTACAGACAATTAATGCTGATTTAGTCGAAGCATGCAATCATGTTGATGGTGTGTTAGCCGTATTAGACGAAATGAGAGAAAATAACAAACAACATTTTTCAGACCTGTTTTCTGTTGTTGCCATCATGTTGAATAAAAATAAAGAAGACATTGTTTTGCCTCATATCGCTAATAAACAAACACACCGTAGTAATGTGCCCTCTCATAGCTCTGAAGAGTATTACAATTTTAATATTTTTTTGCCATTTCTCGACTATATCAGATCACAGCTTTGTGATAGATTTCAGAAACACAAATCTTTAATAAGTTCATTACAACAAATCATTCCAAGTAAATGTATAATCGCTACCAATGAAGAAATAAACGACTGTGTAAACTTTTATTCTCAGATATTGATTGAGCCTAATGCTTTCAAAGCTGAATTTGCAATATGGAAGACAAAGTGGCTAAAAGAAGGATCTCGCCCAAAAACAGCAATTGCAGGACTTGACAATTGTAACCCTCTTTTATTTCCTAACATAAGGAAACTTCTACAAGTCTTAGTTACTATGCCTATGTCAACAGCGACACCAGAAAGAACATTTTCATCTTTAAAAAGATTGAAAACGTATCTCAGAAATTCGACTAGTGAAACACGCCTCAATGGATTGGCTTTAATGTCAGTTCACCGGGACATCAATGTTGATCCAGAAGAGGTACTTACTCAGTTTTCAAAATCATCTAGAAAAATAATGTTACTTTAAAATTAATAATCCTATAAATTGTCAAATTAAAAAATGTAAGTTACATGTTTTAATAATTATTAAATATACTTACTCTAATTATAATTATATAACTATAAAAATATTTTCATGTAAAATGTGGTTGTCAATTGAAATACCTTACGAGTAGTAAGTATTAAAGCAGAATGTATATTATATAATATGGTGAATAATATAAGTACATTTTTAAACCTAAAAACTAATATGGTTTGAATTGGTTAAAATTCTAAAAATCATGTTCTAGTTTCATCTTAAATTGAAAACCCCCCCCAAAAATAATGGCTGGATACGGCCATGTAATAAAAGTTGTTAAAATTAAAATTAAAAAAATAATATACATATGGAAATAGAAATAATAATAAATTAAAGTTGGTGCGCATATAGTTGCATTTGTGCAACGGACTTAAAAGCTGTGCTTTTCAAGTTTGGATTTTAAGTTGGAATTTTTAAATTATTTTTAACAAACTCCCCATACTCAAATTAATCAAAAACATTTATTTTCAGCAAGAAAAAAAAAAATCATGCAATTAAGGGTTAATGTCTTTAATTTTTATTGTATACTAGAATATTGGAACGGTGTATTTGTTTTATTTTTAACAATAAACAGATGTAATCGATAAACCGCTCCAGATTGATGTAAACCACGAGTGACATATATGTACCTCCTACATCTATGACTACAGGTACATCGTGTTTATTTTGAATATCAACTGTAGCAAGTATAATGAAATAAATCACATTTATTTTTCTTCGACTTTCTTTTTCTTTTATATTTTAAGCATTATATTTTTATAACTAACAACAACTAAGTTTTCTGGGGTACCTGTGTAAATAATATTTTTCAATAATATTTTTAGCTTAATTGGGAAAATTGCAAAAATAATACGTTAATTGTTGGTTAATAATTTGAGCTAATCTACCAGAAGGCAATAAGTTTAAAAGTTTTATGTTTAATCAATTTAACTATTAATTACGTATTAATTTGTTGAAGTGCCCAGGCTTCGTAAATTATGTTTGATTACGTTCTGAGTTGTTCGGAAACTACGTCGATTGTATATACGTGATTTAATATTTTTTAATTCATACTTTATTGCGTATGACACTAAATCCTTTACCATATCGGGTATGATTTCCTCAGATGAAAAATTTAATGGAACAATATTCCGTATTTATTGATAATGGGCCGTGTGTCCCACTTTGTGAATATTCTAATGTGTTTAATTTGTAGGTACTTACAGTTAAACAAAAAGTCTAAAGTTAACAAAAGTAAATGTTGCAATATGCATAATACTACTTGTGCAGCGTGCGATTTATGGTGTTGCATGTTTTGTCGGAAATCATATTTTGTTATCGTCGGTGTTGGTCTTCATTGGTATAATATGTTTAATGTGGGGTGCCAGTATAGCGTGTTATCTACCGCTTACATGTGCTCTACCTGTGATTTACCCATTACTATCCAGTTCTTTATCAGTAAAAAAGAGAGGCGTACCTATCTATATGCTTCAGTGACATTTAGATCTGTATTGTTGGAAGGTGTGGTGGAAAAGTGAACTAGATTTGTTCATTGTTTTATTAGATGATATGCGTGCTAAATTCATAAATAGCGATTAAAACGAAACTTTTATTTTAAATATTTATTCAACGAAATTTATATTATGTGGATGTGATTTTGAAATTGTGATTTTTGAAATACGTGTGAGCCCACCTCCTCGTGGTGTATTTTGGGTAATGCTAAGCGGCTCACAAATCGCGTTTACCAAAAACAGGTTGGTAGATCGCTCGTTACACTGGCACATAATGTGGTGTTCATGGCATGCGTATGTAATACATACTATGCAGTGTTGTACATAGATAACCAAAGTATTATCTAGATAAGATAACGGATAATACATTAAAACTTCATCTAGATAAGATAATAGATAACTAAAAATTTATCTGGGTAATAGATAAAAGATAACTACATTTATTTAGATAAAAAACAGATAAAACTAGATAAAAATATAATTTTAAACAATTTCATCATTCAGAACTTACATTTGTAAAATGGTTATTTTTTTATGAATAAAAAAATTGATTATTAGTTATGATTTAAATTGGTTTAAAATATTCTTAATTAATTTTGTTAATTTAGACAGAAAACAGTACATAAACCTATTTTTTTTCCTTTTTATTTTATGTTATTAATTTATTATTATTTAAATAATGTATAGTTAAAAATGTACCTAATTTTATGATTTTTATGATTTAAACATATACCTAAGTATTTATAGGATAGAAATCTACATAATAATTTCCATAGATGTATTTAACTCTATTTTGCTATCTTGTAATATTCAAATTTAATTTAATGGTCATCAGTGATGACACATCACTTTGTCTTCGATTTACACGCAGTTAAATTCAAATAAATATATAATCTATATATATAAATAATACAATATTTTATAAATTAATTTTATTAGATATAATACACAACAACATTTCAAATGTTTTCTTCACCTAAACGGTTCCTTCTTGGTGTTAAGATTTGACTTCCGTTGCTAAACAAGCGCTCGACAGGTGAAGATGAAAGAAATTATATTTATAAAACTCAAATTTGATTAATTATATCATAATTTCAAAACTATTTCATATAAATCGGTATATTTATTTTATTTCACCTTACGTATTTACCAATAACTAACTAGTGATTACTGTTACCTTTATTGTTATTCTCAGTATTTACTAATACGATTTAAGATCTATATACACTAATACTATATAGCAATGGCCACGATTCAATGGTTACTGGTTGGCTTTATTATTATATATTACTTAAATATAAGTTTATACATTGTTATTTATGGAACGTTCCAGCCAAAGATTGAGGTTTTATGTCCATGTGTTCTTACAATTATTGTTTATATTATTATTATATGAGTATTTTATTAGTTATTAAGTATACGTATATTAAATCTCGGCATTGGGCAGCGGGTATTGCCCAGTCGTCGATTATATAGAAAAAAAAAAGTTAATCGTTATAAAATTGAATGGTATTATTTGAAATACGTTAATTTGTATATGTTTTCTGTGTAAATAATTATACAATACATTTTCTTCGTTTATAGAATATGGATATTTAAAATTTAAAACAAACATACATTAATACTAAGTGTTTATTATTCCTCGTTTCACTTCCCACAAAAAAAATTATTTCTTTCAAAATGATCTAGATAATTTATCTTAGATAACCATTTTATTTAAAAAGATGGATAAAAAGGTACTTCAAATTATTATTATCTAGATAAGATAAAAAGATTAATGTTTTTATCTAGATAAATCATCTAGATAAAAGTATCTAGATAATGCACAACACTGATACTATGTATACGTCGGAGAGTTATGCAGTTAGGATGAAGGTTAGGGGTTCTTATTTTCATCAGCAGTACTTTAAAAATGTCTAAAGATTTATCAACACGGGGGCGTCATTGGGGGGGGGGCAGACTATGACAAATGCCCCATTCTAAAAAATTTTAAAAAGTCGGCAATTCTTTGTTCGATGATCAAATGCTAAAATCGGTAAATAGTACATTTTTATGATATATCAGATATATCGATAAGATGATAAAAAATTCTCATGTACAATTTTCTCGACTACATTCGAATTTTATAGTAGCCAATAAAACTGTCAAATAGATCCACCCCACCCATGTTAGGTTATTGTTTGAACAATCTATATCAATTTTTTAAATTTTTTGTCGAATCTTTTTGCAGATTACATTGATAGTATTATTCGATAATAAATTAATTTGCTTGCTATATTTTCAGTTACAGAAATTGGTGTATTTTAGTGTATTGTTAAATATCCATAAGATTATTTGTTGTCTTTTCATCTGGAATTTTATTTTTTGATAAGCAATCTTTCCTGATTGTTCATAAGCACAATATTCCATTCTGTTTTAGGTAAGCAGCTAAAGGAATACTTATACAAAAATTATCAAAATAAATTCTTTGGTTTTTATTACGTTCGATATTTCTTGTGAGTTGTACTATTATATTTGAACTAGTACCAAGATCTGGCTCGTGTGGTAAACGAAATCTATTATCATTTTCTTGGCCTGAATAAATAGTTAAACAGTACATTTTTATTTACTATTTTGTACTCAGAAATCAGATAATATTCTCTCTTAAATACACGTTCATGGTTTATTAAAAGTTGGGAAA